GTCTCTAAACGGAGCGCGATGAAGAAGGTTGGCCTGCGCTTAGGTTGATCTTTTTATTTGATATAGAATATATGTAGTTATGTAGTATTTTTACAGCATTTACCAGCAAAAAAACATGTTTTCTAACTCTTTCATCATAAAAGTAATTTGTGGTTATTTTTACAGCATTTACCAGCAAAAAACCATGTTTTTAATAGTATTCTAACCAGCAGTTGTAAAAACGACACTTATATTGAAACATGTCTTTTTTTTATTTTGGTATGATATATGTGTAGTTTTCTAATTCCTTCGTCAACCAATCACTGAAAAGTAATTTGTACCATTTTTAGAAAACTTACCATCGTTAAACCATGTTGGTAACTGTTTTCTAACCAGAAGTTGAAAAAAATCAAAAATGATTTTGACACATGCCGCCTGTTTTTTATTTGATATAGAATATATAAGAATATATTTTTGCATTTACCAGCAAAAAACCATGTTTTGAATAGTTTTCTAACCCGCAGTTGTAAAAAAGATACTTATATAGAAACATGCCGTCTATTTTTATTTTGGTATGATATCTAGCTCTGTATATTCACTTGCCGTACCCGGACGTGTTTCTTCGATCGCTCTTGCCAGTTTGCAATTATTTTCGATCTTGAACTCAAGCTTTCTCCTTCTGCGACAAGTGGAAATATAACGATTAATCTTTAAAAATAAATTTGACTTAACAAGTTCATTGAACTATTTAGTTCCAATTTATACATTTAATCGGTTAAAGTTATCTCTGTTGCGCTTTAACTATATTCTCCAACATAAGTCTCTCCGAGCCGTACTCTCCGGACGTAACCCGTTACATCATAGTTACTGTGGAGTTTATTGTTCTGCACGACGCCAAGCCTTCGTTGCACATTTCTTTTATGACGTCGTCTCTTACATCCTATCTGATCGTCCACTCTCGGCTACAGAGTGCTTCAGAGAGCCTAAATTCTTTACACGCTACTACAGTGGTCTGCAATCTGCCAAAAATGAGTCTTATTTGCACAGCAAAAAAATGTGAATTTGGTGGATCCATCACGGGTGACTCATACCTGTCTTGTTGGCTCTGCAACAACTGCTCACATATTAAATTTGCTGGAGGAGGACACAATGGACGGATAAGTGACCTTATCAACAAGAAAATTGGCCTGACGTGTTCTTGCATCGCTTGCAGAGAAATCGAGTCGTAGATGCGGACTTTTTTGAAACAGAGGCAAAATGGTTTCCTTGATGTTCGCAAGCAATTCTCGGCCCTTAATGAGCAATTCCTCGCTCTTGAAACCCAATTCCTTGGGCTAAAGTTGTTAAGCGAATCCCCCAGACGAAAAATTCCGAACACCAACCTGCTGACTGCCAATTTATTGGGTACCCCTACATCCCATGCTGTACAAGTCCATGCATTTTCAACACCAAACATTTTACCGTCGCCTATTTGTCTACCTACTGATGCTGTTCCAGTACCAAGGGACTTGATGAACCTTCCTTCAGGGCACTCTAATATTTATCCCTTGCAAGAAGCGATCAGTGTACCGAGTACAAATCTCGCGCCTCCTATCATCTTGGAGCCTTCAACGTTGGACATCGTTGGACAACATACCCTCTTCTCTTGCTGTGATGTCTCCAAGGCCTCTGATTGGTGTGGCGCCTGAAGTTAAATCTTCTGGACTTACGCTGAGGGCGGTTGCTTCTCGTAAGGCCTCTCGCCTTATGCCGGATACTACTATTGATGATGTCAGGAGTCACCTGTTTAACCATTTTAAGGTAGGTCCTTATGAAATAGCTGTTTTTAAGTTTAACTTTAAGCATAAGCGTTCTATTTCTTCTTTTAAAATAGTCCTAACTGATTCCTACCTTGAAAAAGCACTTGATCCTGTAGCTTGGCCTGAGCACAGTATCATTCAAGAATTCCTAGCAAAAGACGCTCAGAATCCTAGCCGTGCAGAAACTGCTTCAAAAAACTGAATAACATAGTATTTTCCTGCTGCTATCCAAACGTTAGAAGTATTCTGGGTAAGCTAAGCCAATTTTTCACAAAGAGTGCTTCTTTTGATTTTGATGCTATCGTGCTTACTGAAACTTGGCTTAACTCCTCTGTCTCTGATTAAGAAATTCTTGTTTCCAAATTCATAGTGTTTCGATAGGATCGTCCAACTTTTGCAGGTGGTGTCCTCATTGCTGTTAGTAATGAGTACCCTGCTGAACTTATTCCTTTCCCGAATGAGTTCGGAATTGAGTTCATTGCGGTGAAAATTTTAACTGGCTCGTCTCATATTTTCCTGATCTGTTCCTACATTCCTCCCATGGCCGAAGATCCTCATGATCCAAGCTCCTTCTATTCTTTTGTCAATATGAAACGTAAATTACATCTTTTTCCTCCTTCCCTATCATATAAAAATATTTCACATTCTTCTGAGCTAGGTATTGCTAATCTCTTTGCGTCAGTTTTTCAAACCACTTATTCGTCCGATTTATATAACCTCAATTCTTCTTAAACTTATAAATTACCACACATAAACAACATTTACTTGTCAAAATTTCGAATTCAGGATGTGTTCGAAGCTCTTTCAACAATAGATATCTCATTCTCTGCTGGTCCTGACAATGCTCCTAGCTGTGTTCTAAGGTACTGTTCTGATATCCTTTGCTATCCTCTCATTCTCTTATTCAACTTATCCTTGGAGTTGGCATGTCTTCCCAAGAGATGGAATGAATCATATATTATTATGCTTGAGAAACTGGTTACGTTCAAACTGCAACATTTTTGTAAAAGCATTATTTCCACTTCACAGCATGGTTTTGTCAAGCATCGCTCTACCACAACTAACCTTCTTGAATTCACTTCTATCATCCACAGGGTTTTTCTGAGCCGCATGCAAACTGATGTGGAATATACTGATTTCAACCATCATCTCCTCCGTCATAAGCGGTATCTAGTGGGATTTTCTCCAAAAATCGTACGGTGGTTGGCCTCCTATCTATTCAATCGCACGCAGTGTGTTTTGTTCAAAAAAAGAACATCACAGATTATAAACATTTCATCTGGTGTCCCACAAGTTAGTCATTTAGGACCCCTTCTGTTTGTTCTTTTTGTTAACGATTTACCTAGTGTTGTAAACTATGCTACTAAATTTATATATGCTGGTGATGTCAAGTTATGTCTTTCTTTCTCAGACCATTTCCTTCATAGACACCTCCAATTAGACCTTAACGAAGTCTTCTTGTGGTGCTCAAACAATCTTCTTTTACTTAACTGCTCTAAGTGTAAGGTTATGACGTTCAATCACAGTGTGCCCCACATCGTTTCGTACTCTCTTGGGAATAATAACTTCTTAGATCGTGTTTCCCTAATAAACGATCTTGGAGTCCTTTTTGACAATAAGTTGTCGTTCAACGAACACATATTACTAACAGTTAATAAAGCCAGAGGTGTGCCAGCTTTTATCAAACGTTGGTCAAAAGATTTGGATAATCCTTTCACAACTAAAACTCTACATGTATCGTTGGTTCGTCCTATCTTGGAATACTGTTCTAGCGTTTGGAGACTGCAATACTTTGTTCACCAAAGGAGGATTGAATCTGTCCAAAAGCAGCTTCTGTTATTTGCATTAAAAAGCTTAAACTGGGATACTGCCACTTGCCTCCCGTCGTATCATTGCCGGTTAAAACTATAAAACCTACCTCCTATAAAAGAGCGGCGTACTTGTGCTGGGGTAATGCTATTTCATGTGCTTATTGTTGGACAGGTTGACTCACAGGTACTTCTTGAAAAATTAATGTTCTCTGTTCCTGTTTTTTTACCAATTTTTAGGTGCTGAACACGATCCTTTTCGCGTTATTTGTAAAAATTATAACTCATTGTCCCATTTATTATTTCCTGAACTATCCCTAGATGTAATTAAATCCAAAATTATGAAATATCTTTTATCTAAATTTATTCTAGATTCTAGAATAACAGATCATTGTTAATAATAAATAAATAAATAAAGTTTTGAGATTTTATTTATGGTAGTTTTACTGGTTCTGAAGTTTTTGACTTTTTGTGAATTAAGGTTATATTTTTTACTTAACGTTAATTGCATATCATAGTCTTGTTATAAGCATTGAGAACAAACGATGTTAGAAAAATGATATTGAACATGCTTAATTTTATTAAAAGAGAAACTAAAAGAAACAAACAGACTTAAACTTTTTATGACTTATGACGGTTAGTGTTACATACCGTCATAGACATGTGCCCATATGTACATATATATGTTCGTTGATTTTTATTTTTAGCGGTTTCACATTTTTATACCCTTGCAGAGGGTATTATAATTTTGGTCAAAAGTGTGCAACGCAGTGAAGGAGACATCTCCGACCCCATAAAGTATATATATTCTTGATCAGGATCACCTCCTGAGTTGATATGAGCATGTCCGTCTGTCCGTCTGTCCGTCTGTCTGTCCGTCTGTCTGTCCGTCTGTCTGTCCGTCTGTCTGTTTCTACGCGAACTAGTCTCTCAGTTTTATAGCTATCGTCTTGAAACTTTGCACACACCCTTCTTTCCTTTGCACGCAGTATATAAGTCGGAACGGCCCGGATCGGCCGACTATATCCTATAGCTGTCATATAACTGAACGATCGGAAATGACCCAACTTTCGTGTTGTTAAAGATAGAAAGCTGGAACTTGGTACAGATTATATTCTTGGTCAGTTAATCCGATCTACCAAATTTCATAACGATCGGCCGACTATATCTTATAGCTGCCATATAACTGAACGATCGGAAATGGTTTTTGGTAGAAATACCACTTTTGGTGTTTTTGAAGATAGAAGCTTGAGACTTTTTTTAGATTTTGTATTGTAATAAATTGGATTATATATTCATATTTCCATAAGGATCGGCCAACTATATCCGATGTTTGCGATATATATCCGGTTTAAACTGGAAGGGGATATAAACTTCGGCTCCGCCCGAAGTTAGCTTTCCTTTCTTGTTATAATTTTTTTATTTTTATGTTTACATTTTTCTAAACATATTTATAATCAAGGTAGAATTAAATTATTGCTCGTTCAATTTCTTCCATATGATAACTTAGTTTATATGATGACATTAAAAATATGCGTTCAATGTGCTTTACTTTATTGTTCCGAATTAACGATAAATAAACAGCGGTTTCACCTTAAAATAAAACTTGGTCACACAGTTATGAACCACGTTATAAACAAACAAAAGTCGACATGGCATTAGCGGCAGATGCTTTGGGATTGTATGTGTCTTTTAAATGCATATTGGTTGGTAAGTAATTGAAGATAATCTAAATTAAATAATTTTAAATTAATTAACTTCGTATTTTATTACAGGTCAGGGAAGTTGCTCCCTAGAATGCAGTAGAAAATCTAAATATGTCCTTCCATCCCGGCTTCGTCCCGGAAAAATTCATGGATTCGCATTGGATTCGGACAATTACCCCGAAACCATAGTGTTGGCGTATAGCGAAAATGAGTTCTCATTGTATACATGTAATCTTAATAGGAAAAATAACGGGTTCAAGTTGGTTTACGAGGGAAAAACTAGAGACTGGATTAACGCAGCTACTTTTTTTTCCGAAACGTCGAAAAATAGTGGACAATTCGTACTGCACATGGCTCACAGTACCTTAATACACATAAAATATGCGTTCACGCCCAATATACACTTTAACGTATCAGAGTTAGCTCAGTGTTCTGACTGTTCAATTCTTTATTACAGTCGTCTGTATGGTAATTCTTACGATGAACTAACAATATTCAGTGGAAACGCATTTGGAGAATTGTTGGTTTGGCAACCCAAAGACGCGCTAAATTCCAAATCATCAATGTGTAAAACATATCCCCTTCTTTTACGAATACAAGCACATAACGGTGTTATTCATGCAATTGATTTAAACCTATCGTCACAAATATTAACTACAACATCCGATGATCGTTCTGTCAAATATTGGAGAGTTGAAAAGTTGGGAATGAGGGATGTCAGGTTAAAACCCATGCTTAGTTGTTTTGGACATAATTCGCGTACAATGTGTGCAATAATTTCAAAAATTGGTAGGCTTTTTACATACTATTAAAGACTTTGTATATTAATTTTTCATAAAATTATATTATTTATAGGTGGCTTCGTATATATAATAAGCGGTGGTGAGGACTCTCACGTATGTATTTGGAGTCATGTTGGAGATCTTTTGTATAAGCGTCGCTTCCATTTCGGAGCACCTATATGGCGATTAGGTATAAATAATAATTCTTCGATACTTTATACCACAGGTTCTACTGGAAATATTGTCGCTTGTAACCTTAATAGTGTTGTTAAAAACCAAAATAATTTTGCTTATGCGTTTGGCGATATTAATTTAAAAAATGAATTTATAAGAAGGATAAAATTTGTTAAAGAAAGTATAATTATTGGCTTAAGTAACATGAACCGTTTGTATTATATGCAAATTTCGGATCATTTTAATGAGGCGGAAAAGTGGATTTTAGTGAATGACTTCCCGTCATATAAATGTACAGTTTTTGAGGTATCTAATGACATTATTGCAACAGGTGGTCTTCGACGTATAGCAATGTATCGATTTAAAGGACCTAGGATTTATGAAAAAATTTTTGATGCTGAAAGGATGACAGGGACAATTCGATCTTTTATATTTTTGAATGAAAATTACTTTCTCGTTGCTGACGATTCGGGTACCTGCGTATTACTAAAAGGAAATAATTTAAGATTAGATTCTTATATTGAACTTTGGTATCCGCGTGATCCTTGTATAACTGCCGGTTTATTTATATCTAAAAACTATATTTTACTGGGGGACCGCAAAGGTCGTGTTATGCTTTATTCCCGGAGCAATGAAAAAACATTTTCATGTAAGAAAATGCTAAATTATCAAGAAGTTAAATTTGGTGCCAATTTTTTTAAATTGCTAAGACTAACTACATTTGATGCTTATGTAATGTTCGGTGGTCATGAGTCAGTTATAAAATATATACATATAGGATTACCGGAATGCGATTTAAAAGTCACACAACGTATAAATATGCCTTTGTCGTGGATTGAAGCGTGCCTTGGAAATGATATAATTTTGGGTTTTAATGATAATCACATTGTTGTTTGGTCTCGACATTACGACGTGCTAGCACAGATGCCATGCGGCGGTGGACACCGATGTTGGGATTATTTTATGAACAATGGTATTATTAATATTGTATTTATTAAGCAGAGGAAAGTGTTCTTTTATAAGACTTCCCTTTTTAACCCAATATCCAAAATGATTAAGAACATTAAATGCAACACCTGGCACATACGCAATTGTAATATTTTGCGACTTCTTAAACACTGTGAAGCGCAAACATTAATTGTGTCGGCAGGTGATGATAATATTATAAAAGTTACGTGTTTTTTGGACAAAGCGTCAAATCAGTGTGCTGAAATTCACTCACATGTATCAAGTGTAAGATGTTTACAAGTTTATAAATTACAAAATACTGAAAATACTTGGATTATTTTTTCAGTCGGTGGCCGATCTCAACTTTGCATAAGTCTGTTTAACATAAACCGGTTTAAAGAGTTTTATGTACATGAGCTATACACAAATACGTTGCAAAATATGTTAAAAAATGTTTCACAAGAAGCAAGACTTATGGCAATAGAAATTGCAAAGGGAGCCTTAGAAGATTGTTTTTTATTATACATAGCTGGTGCTGATGGCAGAATTTGTCAATACCTTTGGAATTTACAAAAAAAAACTGAGCTAAAATTTCAAAAGGTTATTTATTTAAAAAATTGCCCTATTAAGCTACGCTTTATAAATGGTCTCGACTTACTACTACTAACAACGACAAGTGGCGAATTATATGGTTTTAACAAGACTTTGTCAGAAAAATGTTTTCAACTTCAGCTTCATGAAACTGGTATCAACGCAATTGACACATATGTAGTTGAGCATCTTTTGCATATCTTATCAGGAGGAGACGATGAAAATATTAAGTACACTGTGGTAAATTTGACAAATTTTACAGTGGAATATAAGACAGAATTTATTGGTCTTCACAATACCCAAGTGAATGCTTTATCAATACATTCTCCTTATAAGTGGAATGAAAAATCGGAACTTCTAGCATATACTTGCGGTATAGATAAACAGATCTTTGAAATTAACCTAAAAACCCAAAAGTATGTTCGTGTAGGCTTCACCTGTATTGCGGATATTAAAGGATTGGAGATAGATAATTGTAACAGAATGTATTTGTATGGAAGCGGACTACAAATTGTTTGTCCATTAAAATCTTAATTTAAATATAAATGTACATCAATAGGTTAAACAAAATTGTGATTTTCAAAATTAAACTAAAAACTATATACATACATAAAAATGTTTAGCTTATTTACTTAGTCTTGTGTGAACATCGGCAACCATCGGCAAATAGTTGAAACGAATTTTACAATACTGATGAAAATTGTGTTTTTCTGTTAAAAACTATTAGTTTTAAACTAATTTGGCTTAAATTGCAGATAATTTATTCAATGGCATACAGATACTTATTTATATGTTTATGCCATTACAGAGGGTATTATAATTTTAGTCAAAAGTGTACAACCCAGTAAAGGATGTGCACATTTGCATATATTATAATGTGCATATTTTACTTTTTTATACCCTTGCAGAGGGTATTATAATTTTGGTCAAAAGTGTACAACGCAGTGAAGGAGACATCTCCCACCCTATACAGTATATATATTCTTGATCAGGATCACCTCCTGAGTTGATATGAGCATGTCCGTCTGTCCGTCTGTCCGTCTGTCCGTCTGTCTGTCTGTCTGTTTCTACGCGAACTAGTCTCTCAGTTTTAAAGCTATCGTTTTGAAACTTTGCACACACCCTTCTTTGCTTTGCACGCAGTATATAAATCGGAACGGCCGTGATCGGCGGACTAAATCCTATAGCTGTCATATAACTGATTGATCGGAAATGGTATAACTTTGGTTTTTTTAGAGTTAGAGAGTTTAAATTTGACATGAGAGCTATTTTTGGAAACAAATTACGACATGCCAAATTTCATAAGGATCGGCCGACTATATCCTATAGCTGCCGTATAACTGAACGATCGGAAATGACCCAACTTTCGTGTTTTTGAAGATAGAAAGCTGGAACTTAGTACAGATTCTATTTTTGATCAGTTGATCCAACATACCAAATTTCATTAGGATTGGCCGACTATATCCTATAGCTGCCATATAACTGAACGATCGGAAATGGTTTTTGGTAGAAATACCAACCTTGGTATTTTTGAAGATAGAAGCTTGGGACTTTTTTTTAGATTTTTTAGTTTATTTAATTGGTTTTATTATGATGTAATTATAAGGATCTGCCAACTATATCCGATGTTTGCGATATCGGATTTTAACTGCAAGGCTATATCAACTTCGGCTCCACCCGAAGTTAGCTTTCCTTTCTTGTTTTAATTTAATGTGCATATATTATATGTTCTTTATCAGGATGAGGATGTAGATATTTTCGTCTGTCCGTATTTACTTACGCAAACTAGTTTTTTAGTTTTAAAGTTACATACCTACCCTTGCAGAGAGTATTATAATTTTGGTCAAAAATGTGCAACGAATCTCCGACCCAATAAAGTATATATATTTTAGATCAGGATCAACTCCCTCCAGCGCCCTTTAAAACCAAGGCCCGCAAGGCCTTAAATTTTGCCAGAAAAACAAACTCGGAGACAGCCTGGGAGTCGTACAAAGCGGACCTTAGGCGATATAACAAAGAGCTTCGCAAGGCAAAAAGGAATGCCTGGGCCGAGTTCTGCACGAACATTCAGCAAACATCAGAGGCCTCTCGACTCAGGAAGGTCCTTGCAACTACTGCACCAAATGTAGGATACATTAAAACCTCAGAGGGCAACTGGACATCGTCCAGCAAAGAAACCCTAGAGGCTCTCATAGAGACACATTTCCCGGGATGCTCTCGAGAAGACACAACCCTGGAAATGCAGACACAGGGGAATAGCCCACCCACCAACAATCCACTTGAATACCTATTGAATGATAGATATCTCAGCTGGGCAATAAATAGCTTCAAGCCCTTCAAATCCCCGGGCCCAGATGGCATTGTCCCGGCTCTGCTAATTAAAGCCGGTCCCAACCTGAAATCATGGGTCAAGATAGCTTTCTCAGCAATCTTCAGTATGGGCATCGTACCCCAAATGTGGTTGCGGACGAAAGTCGTATTTATACCCAAGGCGGGAAAACCATCTCACTGCACCCCCAAGGACTTCAGACCAATAAGCCTGTCGTCCTTCCTTCTCAAGACAATGGAGAGACTAATCAGCCTCCATATTAATCTTACTATAAACCCAGATGATATCTCGGGATCACAACATGCGTATAGGAAGGGCCGATCCACGGAAACGGCACTCCACGAAATCACTACTTTTGTCGAGAAGGCACTTAGTGATAAGGAATACGCACTCATTGCTTTTCTAGACATAGAAGGTGCGTTCAACAACATCCTACCAAGCTCGATAACCAATGCGCTGACAGGACTAGGAATAGATAATCAATCCGTACGCCTTATAAAGCAGATCCTGGTAAACAGGACTGTTGAGGCGTCACTAGGAGGAGAATCTATTCATAGATACGTCAGAAGAGGCACCCCGTAAGGAGGCGTACTCTCACCCCTACTCTGGAACGTGGCGGTTAATAGCCTACTGCGATCCCTAGAAGGGGGTGGTTGCAAAGTTATCGCTTACGCGGATGATGTCGCAATTGCCTTCTCAGGAAAATTTCCCCAGACTCTATGTGACCGCATGACGGACAAACTTAGGGTCCTCTCAACGTGGGCAGCTAGAAATGGACTAGGTGTGAACCCATCCAAAACAGAGCTCGTCCTCTTCACCAGGAAGTACAAAATACCAAACTTAAGGCTTCCAAAACTATTAGGAGAAACACTATCTCTTAGCGATAGCGCCAAGTACCTAGGGATTACGCTAGACAGGAAACTGGACTGGAAATCAAACACTATGGATAGAGCCAACAAAGCTACAATCGCGCTCTATACTTGCAGAAAAGCCATTGGTCTTAAATGGGGAATGTCACCAAAAATAGTAAGATGGCTTTATACAGCGGTCATAAGACCCATCCTCTTCTACGGGGTGGTGGTATGGTGGCCTGCTCTCACCAACTCCACAATCAGGGAGAAGCTTAGAAAAACGCAAAGGATGGCGGAGGTCTGTATCACGGGCAGCCTACGTACCACTCCTACGGACGCACTAGACTTCATACTCGACCTATTACCGGTAGAGATAGTGGGAGTCAAGATGGCTACGCTATCGGCAATCAGGCTACGAGAGACGGGCGCATGGAAAAGGACTGACTACGGACATACCAAGTTAGATCTACACCACTGCACGCCAACGGGGTCTACGGACTACTGCGTACCTGTCGATAATCCCACCTTAAAATACAAGGTCTACATTCCAACAAGGGAGGAATGGGACACACAAATCCCGGGACCAGCCGGTTCCCTCCATATTTACACAGACGGCTCAAAATTGAATGGCCAGGTGGGAGGCGGTTTCCATTGCGAACAGCTGTGTTTAAATGAGTCCTTCAGACTCCCAGACCACTGTAGTGTTTTCCAAGCAGAAGTAATAGCTATCGGAGAAGCACTCAGATCCCCAGCAATCATTGGTAATCAGGACACGATCTGTATCTTTTCAGACAGTCAAGCGGCACTCAAGGCCCTTGACGGTCTTTCATCCAACTCCAGGACAGTGAATGACTGTCGCAGATCTCTTAACGAGATGGCAGAGCAGCATGACATACACCTCATATGGGTGCCCGGACATAGGGACCACGAGGGTAACTGCGCCGCCGACGAACTAGCAAGAGCAGGTACTACCAATCCTCTCCTACCGGAGAAGGAACCAGTAGGTATCCCCTTAGCTACGTGTAGGCTAAAATGCAGGGATCACTTTGACCGCGCATCACTGCGGAAATGGAGAAACCTCCAAAACTGCAGGAACTCCCGCATGATATGGCCAAACCGATCTAGGAAGAGGTCAATGATGCTTACCGCCCTAAATAGGCAGGACTATAGTCGGGCGATCAAGGCCATTACGGGACATTGGTTAATAGGAGCACACGCGGCTAGACTAGCGGTGCCTCATTATGACTACTGCAGGAGCTGTGGAGACGAAGAAGAGGAAGAGACAGTCGCACACCTCCTGTGTCAATGCCCTGCGCTGGGGCGCATCCGACTCAAATTCCTGGGCGCAGCAATACTTACAGACCTTACAGACCTCGCGGAGGTCGCTCCACACAGACTCGTAGCCTTCATCCGTAAATCTGGATGGGACCGCGAGCCGGTTCAAGAAGGATAGAGCACCCTTGGGCACATAAGTAGTGGGAAGGGAGAGGTCCTTTTGTAGGATCCTTGCCTGTGCGGTATCACAAGGAGCCCCAGCGGCTCAAGTGGATGGGGGTCAGAACCGGCCCTCATCGCCGCCTCAACCTAACCAAACCTAACTCCTGAGTTAAGCTTGAAACTTCGCACACACCCTCCATTTCTTTGCACGCTGAATATGCTTCGGAACGGTTAAGATCGGGCGACTATATCCTATAGCTGCCATATAACTGATTGATGGGAAATGCTATAACTTTGGTGTTTTTAGAGTTTGAGAGCTTGGATTTTGTGCGAATGCTATATTTTCCGAATAAATTCAAAAAATGTTGTTATGAAATTAATGATTACATTATATTAATCAGTTAATTTTATAATACTATTAAATAAAATACTGTCCTTTTGGTTGATTGGGATACACAAACAAAATTATAATTTTTATTGTTATTTGGTTTGGTTTGAAGTTTATGCTGAAAATAAAAAATATATATTAAGGGGACCCCCCCCATTCTCGATTTCAAAAAATCGATTTTTACTATTCTATTTTTAATCGACTATTAACTATTCAAGAATGTTCCCTGAAAATTTCAAGTGAAAATCCCAAAAACTCTTGAAGATATAGCCGATTTATGATGGTAGCCTCAGGCGACGGCGAGAGCCGTCTCAAAACTTTAAACGCGCTTTTCTCGAAACAGTGTTTTTACGACTGGCGCATGAGGTTACTCAAAAACTATTAATCCAATCGGTTCCAAATTTTAACACGTTATTCTATACATAGCTCTGGTATGAACTAGGATAAATCAAATCGGTGAAGATCTTCTTTACTTCTCAGCTTGATATGTGGCTTAAATAATTAAAAAATAATTTTCAAAGGTCCGCCATTTTGTTAATTTTTGAGCAAAGTTAATAATCCTAGTTCATACCAGAGCCAAACATGTACTCTTTCCAATCCCGTTGGAATTT